TGTGGATCATTTAATTCGGAGCTACGGTCTAGGATATATGAGCTAAACAAGTTTAACATGGCATTGATGCAAAATGCATACAAACATCAACACAACACTCGAATCAAGGATGCAACATGACATGATGAAACTATATGCTACTCTAAGCAAGTTTCATATATGACATGATCAAAACGGAGCAACGATTCAACACATACACACACGACAAGTTATAACAACAATCTGACAAAACAACAACTAGGCATATTGCAAGCAACAAAACATGATGCTATAGGAACAATATGGGCACAAAATTGATATGCACTTAAAGTAGAGGTAACATAATTCAATTCATCTTTAAGGTTCAGATTCATAAGCATCATGGTTAATTTACTATGATCCATGCAAAATGCAATGTTCTGCTATAGATTAGGACTTGGTAAAAAACTGGAGTTGCAAAATAGTAACATTATGATGCTGTCTTGGGACGCACATCAAAGCAAGCATAGCAATTTTAATATTTATGAAAATAACATGGGCATGTATTAGACATGGCATTCTACAAACTACTCCATAAGCACAAATTCATATGATGCACAGATTAATTACTACTCACTCCATTCCTAATTCTAGTGCGCGCTTGGGTTGAGATGCAATACCAATGCATGTGCTGGTGCATGTCCTTTGGACCATTATATCCATCCACCAACTCTGCCCAGCACCATGTGCAAAGCTCCTCAGCCACACACTCGCTCGCATGCAAGGAGGCTGTGCCACGCCCATGTGCATCCACAGGGCTACTTTTGTCCAAACATGCAACTACGCACTACAATTCGGAACATGGATAAAAAGTTTACACGCACTATAAAGTGGAACAGAGGGAGTATGATTTTTGCAAAATGGAACATGTTGTTAACAGATTGACAAATTTAGCATGATGGCAACTTTAGAACAAGAATGTGTCATGCTACATCAACCCTACATGGAAACCAAGGGCATGGCATCAAAGTACACATAACATATACCAAATCACATGAAGGAATCACATGCATATGAGCAAAGTATTAGTGTCAACCATCATGACAAGTTTGAATGTTTTAACAGTTTCAACAGTTAACATCAGGAGGCACTTTTGCAATGAAGATTAAAGCACTCAAATGGATCTTAAAATGAACACAAATGCATGTATCACGTAGAGCACAGAGAGTAGAACAATTTACATATATAAATCATTGCCATAGGATGAACAGGGAGAAAGATATAGCCATCACAGTAATGCATGATGATGTTTGAATTCAGGGACTTGGTGGAACATGGGCCTCGACGGGATGGATTGGGCGGCCGTTTGGCCCGCGGGACGGCAATGTACTGGGACGAGGCGGTCCAGGTCGCTGGAGGAGGAACAATCAGGCGGGTTGAGGGTTAGGGGTGGTTTTCGGACCCTCCGATCATAATCGGACGGTTTCGGACCGAGGGAGGGGTAGGTTGGGCCTAGTGGGCTGTGTAAGAGGGAACAAGGTCTGTGGGAGAGAAGAGAGAGAGGTCCGGCAACAGTTTTCGGATACCGAAAACGTCTGATGTTTTATCCGGCTATAGTGTCGTTATAGTTATCCGTTGGGGTATCAAACGGACTCCAAATGCGACGAAATTTGACAAGCGGTCTACCTACAGTATAACCAGACCGCACACCAACTTTCAACCCATTCCGAGAACATTTTATCCCAGTTATAAAATAATACTCCCTCCGTTGCTGAATATAGGGTGTATAGTTTTTGGCACAAAAATTAAAGAACACACGTGGAGGGTAAATTTCACAAGTTTTGGGCAAGATTACACCTGACTAATTGACATGAGAAAATAGAGGACCTTGCCTAATATAAGGAAATGTAATCAAATCCCTAAAAAAAATTATCCAAACAAGTGGTGCAACGTAATACACCTTATATTTCGGATTTTTACTCAAAAATCTATACACCTTATATCAAGGAACGGAGGGAGTATTTTGGAGGTGCCGCGGGCGCGTGCGAGTGTGGTTGATCTCAGAACAGTCAACGAAAGAGATGGGGAGATGCGACAACTACAAACGGACACAAGTTTGAAAAGAATGATAGCACGAGTGCTGATGCAATGCGAATAATGCAACGATGAATGCAACAAACAATTGAAACACACGGCGACAACAAAACTAAATGGAAGGCAACTGGAGTGTCGGTCTCGGGGCGTCACACGTACAAGTGATATAAATAGGAGGGACCAGAAATTTGAGAGCTGCCAACTTTATTACACAGCTCGAAAGCTCCGGAGTGATTAGCTTGGAAGTTCCGACGTGAAAAAGATAGCAACTTTCAGATGCTTAGATGGGCTGACCAACAAGCATTCAGAAGCTCCGAGGGGTACATTTGGGTTGTGGCACACTCTATGTTGTTGCTTTGGAAATTCCGACCCATTTGCTTCATAAATTCCTACATGGCAACAGAAGGTTTACTAGTAGATTCGGTGATTCTGAGATGGATACTTTGTGGCTCTGAAAGGGCAGTGTTTATGGAAAAACTATACCTGGTGAGTGTTATGGTGATTCAGGCTGGAAGAACTTGAAAGCTCTGAAGAGAATGAAACTAGGTAAATATAGTGGGATCTTCAAAGGAATTTGAGGGGTTTTGGAGTTTAATATTTAAGCACATGGAAGAAGAAGCTCCTCACTACATCCTCGTCCCCTTTTGATAGTGTCAACATGTCTATAGACTCAATGCGATCTTGACCCTTTAAAATGAAGAGGACAAATCTTCTGGCTTGGCCAACAACTGTCTTGATACATATTGTAGGGGGCACCTTCTATTTATTTGATGCACCCACAAAGAACTTTTCCTAAAATAAACTTGCAAGAGGCATTAATTCCTTGAGATATGTTTGACATTAATTAAAAAAGTCACCAAGGGGATTAGATGTAGTTTCAGTAGTCTCGGCAACGTCCAACAATTTTTTTGGACAGAACATGCCCGATTAGGCTCTATTGAATACACAACCTCCAGCATTCTGGTAGCCCGGGTAACGTCCAACAGTTGAGTGGACGGAAAGAGGTCCAGCCAAACGACTTTAAACAGACATCCTCCACAAATCTAATAAGCCCCAACAATATCCAACAACCAGGTAGTAGGAAAGGCCGAGTGGACATAACAATCATCCAAACGAGCAACGGGTCAAACATCCAACCCCATCCTCCCTACACACCAACACAAGAGATGCTACATGAAGAGGCAACACAAACCATGCAACCCCAAAGGAGCTGTCACACAAAAAGAGAGAAGGAACTAGGACCCGATGACCTCAATCGTTTGGGTAGCTCCAGCAACGTCAACGACCGAGTGGACAGAGAGCGGTGACCAACAAAAAAAAGAATGATGTGAAGGCGACACCCCCCACCCATGCGCACGACAATACATGCATGCCTGACACAAAAAACAACCGAACCAGAGGGCCTATGGAATGTGGCCCATTGGTCATGGACCACCAGCTTCAGCGCCACGGTAAGGCACGACGCAACTCGATCGGACAGTCCGGAGGCCGCCAGCCAAGCAGAGTGTGGCACCGTGAATCGATAGGGCGAAGTAGGAGGCATGTGAGGTTGCAGATGGCCTGAGGAGACCGATACTCCAACATCCTTTAAAGAAGTATAATAATTTTATTATGCAAAATAAACTAAGTGAATAGCGAGTTTTTGTCATGCAGTATAGGTACCATCGCAACCGCTCGAAGACCCAACCGCAATGGCTTGGAGACCATGGACATACTTATGCCCTGTTTGTTTCGGATTTTGGGACCAGATTCAGCTTTGCCAATGAAGCCAAATCTGGAATCTGAAACAAACAACTGTTTGAAATCAGCTTTGCCAGTCAAGCTGAATCTGAATTTGGGCCATTTTTAATGCAATTTCCTGAAGCACCTCAAAGTGTACTTCGGTGGTGAAGCTGATTCCCAGAATCAACTTCGGCACTGAAGCGAAGCAAATCCACAGATGATTAAAATCCAAGCAAAACTGAAACAAACAGGGCCTTAGGACCGCTCCATCCTCCAAAAATCAGCTCCACTTCACCAAAATTATTTTGTAGCACATCCACCCAATAGTTGTGGCTTCACCGTAGAGTAGAGCAGTGAAGCTTGTTTGGCTTCCAGCTAGCTCCAGCTTCAAAGTATGAAAAGTTTTGGCGGAAAAGGTCTATTATGGGTTGCATGACGCGAGGAAACAAAATGGAAGAGGTATCAACTTATAAGTGACAGTGATGAATAATTTTCTCCCAACTCAACAAAGACTCTATGAACTATTATTTTAAAAACACCCTCGGGGAGCTTCATGAAAAACAAAGAGTTAGGCCAAATTTGAGGGTGTTTTTTGGCGGAGCAAGACATTGTATATCTACCACGTTTAGCTTATGTTTCTTTATAAATAAATAAAAAAGCGGAGCAGGCACTTGCTTCCACGCAGCGAACGCCTCCATCGTCACAGCACATTGGCGCCCACGGCCACCACTCTTGCTCCTGTGTGACCGGGCAAGAGCTTCGTAAGCACGATACGCATGAGCACCATTATTGGTGCATACCCCACTTTTACTAGTTAGTATTATAGATTGCAGAAAAAATGCATTTGCAGCATGACAACACACAGTTCCAGTGTGAAATTGATTTTATGCTCCTCACCTCACTCACAGCGGATTTTCTAATTATTAGAATTGAGTCTATAGGAATGCAAATGCAAAGACTCTGCACAGAATATTCTCAAGATTTGAAGACAATTCGACATACTGAACTGGTTCCTAGTTCCTACATCAGGCCTACTACCAAATGGCGAACTAAAATGCCATGGTAGCATCAGGCTTATTATTCTTACTCCGTGCAATTTTTCACCAGCCCATGCAACTCCATGCAACTTCCGCATTCACACTTGACCAAATAAGCTTTCGTTTTTTCACGCAGAGAACAAACGATATGGCGCGCCCCAACCATGGTGCAAGTTCATCTGAACATGATCATGTCGCTCGCAAAGTGGAATACAAGCGCACGACGAGGTTGGCTCCAATGGTAACGGCGAAGATGATAGCAAGAATGGCCATTGAAGCAGCTCTACGATCCATGGTCACCACGGCTACACCCTTTGCTGCCGCCTTCTTGCTGCCACCATCTTGTACAAGCTTCATCCTCGTCTCATTCCACCCCGTGTTCGCTGGTCTCTTCTTCTCTGCTGGCTTGAACAGAGCTGGCAGTGAAGGAAATGTGGGTGAGTCGATGGGCGCGACCGGCTCTTGTGCCGGCGGTTTCTGCTCCTCGTGCTTCGATACGTTCTCCATTGTGGCTGTTTCGGTCATGGTATCCACTTTCAGTTGCTCTGAGATTTGTGATTGATGCGCTGTCATCTGTGTTGATGCGGTCTCTTGATCATCGTCATGTCCTTGCCCGATATGTTCTTCATGGGCGACCTCCGGGATGTTGATGGTAAGAGCGCTTTCATCAGAGTTCTTCACACCTTCGGTGGCCTAAACATGACAATTCAGAGGAAACAGGCAGAATAAATAAGGCTCCGACCACTGTAGGCATGGATCACCAATGAACACTCAGAGCTGCTTTGAACAAATTAAATTGAGGCAAGAAAAACCAATATACATTTGGTGTGATCTCATTCTCAACGCAACTCTTCACTTTAGTTTGGTCAGGATTATTCACATCTTCACTGTCCTGAAGCCAAAATTTGGTTGAATTTCCGGAAGTGAACAGCAAGGCGATACATATTACACAAGAGAGTTTTTTGTTATCACAGTTGTGCATAGGAAATAGAACTGACCGTATCATTAACGACTTCGACACGTTCCTTGCTTGCATTTGGATCAAACTTATCTGTAGGTTTGCTGTCCTGAAAACCAAATTAAGAAAAATATTCACAAAAGTAAGGCACCGGCAGCAAATATTGCAGGCAATACACGCATGGTGTGTCTTAATAATTAATTACTGTAAATTTCTCCAGAAGTTCTGCAGAGAGACAGACCAATTCGTCAGCAACGATTTCATCCACCTGCTCCGGAATCTCATGAAGCTCCTCTGCTTCCTTACCATCCTGAAACCATATTTTCAGAGCATTTTCACACAAACAAGTCTTATTTTGCAAACTTAAATCAACACAAAATATTTCAGACAGCATGCAGATTATACGGAGACTAACCAACCCATCAGCTTCAACCACTCTATCCTCCCTGCCCAGATTCTCATCAGATTGATCAGACTTCTGCTGAATCAACAAATTTCAACCAACATGTTTTGTTAAAATCATCTAAACTCACATGAAAAGGGAAAGAGATCAAGAACACTAAGTTCTAACTAATGAAACCCTCAGTCCACACCTGCTCCTTCTCCACAACCCCACCATCCAGAACGTCCTCCTCCTTGCTGCAAAATCCGCCAGAAGAAACTCAATCCAATCATCTCGGACGCGTAACAAACGGAACGGATGAAATGCTAAACGAACCGAGACTAATAACTAGCCCAAGAAAAAAGGGATTTCTTCCCGTACCCGCGGCGGTCCTTCTTGGCGCCCTTGCCGTCGCCACGGCGCCGCCACGCGACGACGGCGGCGCCGACGATCGCGCCTCCGACGAGGAGCAGCGCCCCGACGCCCTGCGGCGTGCCGACGCGCGCGCACACGCGGGTCCTCATGGCGCCGCCGCGCCCCGCCACCTCCTCTCGCGATTCTTGCGCGGTGCAAAGATCGCCTCTGCCCCTTCCGCTGCCCACTTCCATGACAGCGACGGCGGCAGTTAAGACAAGACGAAGCTCCAACAATATTGTTCGCTGCAGTTAAGTTGGGGAGCTGGGACGGGACGCCGACGCTTGGCTCGCGTGTTCTTGCGCGCGTTCTAGAGGGACACGAAGAGGGGAGAGAGAAGGTTGGGAGGTTCTAGGTACGAGATACGATGGAAGTTATGGCCGGTTCAATCGCACCATGCCCACAACACTCGGATCATGAATGGAAAGTCTCTTTCGACTGGCAAAAGGAGAAACCTACTCATCTTCAAACTGCCACGAAGTTCAACTTTTTTGCTATGCTATATACAGGACCTCAGAGAAATTCATTACTACAAACCTCGGAGAAATATTCTATAATTGGTCCTTAGCCGCCTTACCCTAAACCTTCTCTGTCAATAGATGTATGAGACATTTGTACAATCCACATATGAAGATAAGGGGAAAAGAACAATTTAGGTGTTGTTTAAAAAGTCATTTCACGTCACTTTTGGGCCAAGAGAAGATAGAGTCCAAGTCCCCCATTTTCTAGACTCAGATTCAGACTGCACAGACATATCTGACTCAAAATGCCAAGATCTCTTTCATCCGAACTCCGATTTGGGTGATTCTTTTTTGTTGTTGGAAAGTTTATGATGCGACCCCGTCTTCGAAGAAGAGGGAGTTCAAGGGGAGGTCCGATCTTCACGGCGTAGGATCGATAAATGGATGGGGGTAACTAACTGCAAGCAGCCAAAAAAATGGAAAATAAGAGATTATGACCCGACGAGGAGGATGCTCACCGGAGCTTGCAATCCGAACATTCACCGATCCACAGCCCGCAATACTACCCCACACAACCACACTCAAGTCGTGGAGCACGGGATAGGTGCAATCCGCAAGGGAAACCACGAACTCTAACCCACACAACACGATCTAGCCGTGGAGCACGAATTAGGAGCAATTTCTCAAGGAATCGTGAGAATAAGGATAACAAGAGCTCTCCAATCTCAGGAGGAATCTATGTCTTTGGTCTTTGATAGAAATGGCAAAAGTCCCCAACAAAGGGAAGAGCTAGCCTATTTATAATCGGGACAACCCCCTGGATAGGTGTGAAAGAGAACTAGCTTCTGGATCCAGCTTAGGTGTGAAAGTGAACCAACTTTGTTTGACTAAATGGCTTCAAGACTTAATGACGTAGCTTCTGGAAAACTCTCGTTGGAGGTGGTTGGCAGTTCTCGAAGAAACATTGTTCACTGGGGTCGAACAATGTTTCCTTCAGCAGAAGACTCGAGTTCTGGAAATCTTTCGCAAGTTGGAATATCCAAACTCATGCAAAACATTGTTTCGTCAAAACCGGAACAATGTTTCTTTAGCAGACAACTCATTCTTCATGAATTCCTAACTTTGTTTTCTCGCCATAAAACATTGTTTTGCACGGACTGAAATGTGTTTGGCCATCTTCGATGTCGCACCTGAGTTCAACCAACAACAAAGGAGGTGAAGGCACAACCATGTTTTCAAGGTCAAATGATAGACTTAAGTTAGCGTTCACCTGATCATGTATTTGCATTGCGCGACTTCTTGTAATTGGACCGTTGATGGTTGGTGGTGTGGTGCCCATGGTTGGGATGTCCTCACCATCCTCCCCCTCTTGAGAAGGAGTCGTCCTCGACTCTAAAGGCCCAAAGTATGGGGAAAGATCGGAGACATTGAAGGTTGGGCTAACACCATATTCTTCTGGAAGATCGATCTTGTAAGCATTGTCGTTGATTCTCTCGAGCACCGCAAATGGTCCATCACCGTGTGGCTGCAACTTGCACTTGCGCTGCTCAGGAAAACGGTCCTTCCAAAGGTGTACCCATACCAAATCGCCTTGCTCGAACACCAGCTTCTTCCTGGTCTTGTTTACCCGCTTCGCATATTGTTCAGTCATTTTCTCAATGTTCTCCTTTGCCTGGGCATGAAGTTTCTTGACGAAATCAGCACGCTTACTTGCATCAAGGCTAGTTCATTCCTACAGTGGCAAAGGCAAAAGATCGATGGGAGCAATAGGTTTGAAGCCATAAACAAGTTCAAATGGGCAAAATTTAGTGGTCGAATGTACCACCCTGTTATAAGCGAACTCCACATGAGGTAGGCACTCTTCCCACATCTTCAAATTCTTCTTGAGGACTGCTCGCAGCATCATGGGCAATGTCCGGTTGACAACTTCAGTCTGTCCATCAGTTTGTGGGTGGCATGTCGTGGAAAATAGGAGCTTGGTGCCAAGTTTTCCCCACAAGGTCTTCCAAAAGTAGGGCAGAAATTTGGTGTCACGGTCAGGCACAATCGTGCGTGGTACTCCATGTAGCCGCACAATTTCCCTGAAAAAAAATCAGCAATGTGTGAAGCATCATCGCTCTTATGACATGGGATAAAATGTGTCATTTTGCTAAAACGATCAACTACCAGAAACACCGAGTCACTCCCCCTCTTAGTCCATGGTAAACCAAGAACAAAATCCATAGAAATATCTTCCCACGGAGTATTCGGGATAGATAGAGGAGTATATAAACCATGAGGATTCAAGCGAGACTTGGCTTTGTGACAAATCTCGCATCTCATCACGTAGCATTCCACGTCACGTCTCATTCGCGGCCAAAAGAAGTGATCAACGAGCACACTTTCAATTTTCTTGGCTCCAAAATGTCTCATGAGACCACCAGCATGAGCCTCCTGCAAGAGCAACAAACGAACATAACAATCTGGGATGCACAATTTGTTAGCTCGAAATAGAAATCCATCATGCAAGTGAAACTTCTCCCATCCCTTTCCCTTGTTACACTTTGAAAATGGTTCAACAAAGTATGAGTCGTTAGCATACAATTCTTTGATGCTTTCTAAACCAAGGATTTTAACATCAAGTTGGGAAAGTAAAATGTGACGCCTAGACAATGCGTCGGCAACAACATTATCCTTCCCTTTCTTGTACTTGATAACATAAGGAAAAGACTCTATGAACTCACTCCATTTTGCATGTCTACGGTTCAGTTTAAGTTGGCCCTTAAGATGTTTTAAAGATTCATGGTCAGAATGTATTACAAACTCTTTTGGCCACAAGTAATGCTGCCATATTTCCAAAGATCGAACAAGTGCATACAATTCTTTATCATAGACGGAATAATTAAGAGTTGGACCATTAAGCTTCTCACTAAATAGGCAATGAGTTTACCTTCTTGCATTAGAACTCCACCAATGCCAACACCACTTGCATCACATTCAATCTCAAATGTCTTACCAAAATCAGGAAGTGAAAGCATTGGGGCTGATGTCAATCTCATCTTCAGTTCTTGGAAGGACTTGTCTTGGGCATCACCCCATTGGAATGGAGTGCCTTTCTTCGTTAACTCATTCATGGGTGCAGCAATGGTGCTAAAATCCTTCACGAACCGTCGGTAGAAACCTACGAGTCCGAGGAAGCTATGTACTTGGCTCACATTTTGTGGAGGCATCAACTCACGAATAGCCTTTATCTTCTCTTCATCGACCTCCACGCCTTTTGCTGAAACAACAAAGCCAAGAAACACAACCTTGTTTGTGCAAAATGTGCACTTTTCCACATTAGCATACAACTTTTCCTCCCGTAGGACAGCAAGCACACATTTTATATGTCCAACATGATCCTCCAAAGTTTTGCTATAAATCAATATGTCATCAAAGTAAACCACTACAAACTTGCCAATGAAGGATCTAAGCACATGATTCATCAATCTCATGAAAGTACTAGGTGTATTCGTTAATCCAAAAGGCATAACCGACCATTCATACAAGCTAAATTTTGTCTTAAACGCAGTTTTCCATTCGTCACCCTCTTCCATTCTTATTGGGTGGTAACCACTTCACAAATCAATTTTGGAAAATATGGTAGAGCCACAAAGTTCATCAAGCATGTCATCGAGCCTAGGAATAGGGTGGCGATATCTCACAGTTATGTTGTTAACGAATCTACAATCAGTGCACATGCGCATGGTACCATCTTTCTTTGCAACTAAAAGAATGGGAACAACACAAGGAGATAGACTTTCCCTTACATACCCTCTGTTAAGAAGATCTTCTACTTGCCTCTGAATTTCTTTCGTCTCCTTTGGGTTTGCTCGGTATGATGGTCGGTTTGGTAGTGGGGCACCCGGAACCAAGTCGATTTGGTGCTCAATGCCCCGCTTCGGTGGTAAACCAGGTGGTACCTCCTTGGGAAACACATCCTCATACTCCTGCAAAAGATAAAAAACAACACTAGAAAGAGTTGAGGGTAAATCGTTAGCAGCCAATAAAGTTTCCTTGTACAGGAGTACAATGTAACGCCCTCGATGCGGCTATATCTCCTATGTGTCGAAGCACGACCTAGAGGCATAACCGCATTGAAAGCAATGTCGCAAGTAAGGTAATCTTCACAACAACCCATGTAATATAGATAATAGGGGAAGAGGTACATAGTTGGCTTACACTCGCCACATCACACAAATATATAAATAACATTACAATCATCCAATACACTCATGGTCCGACTACGGTACCAAAATAAAAGATCAACCCCAACATGCGACACGGTCCCGATCGCCCCAACTGGGCACCACTACTGATCATCAGGGAAAGACACATAGTAACGGCGTGAGTCTTCGTCGAACTCCCACTTGAGCTCAAGCGCATCATCTGGAACGGAATCATTGGTCCCTGCATCTGGTTTGGAAGTAATCTGTGAGCCACGGGGACTCAGCAATCTCGCACCCTCGCGATCAAGACTATTTAAGCTTATAGGTAAGGCAAGGTAATATGTGGAGCTGCAGCAAGCGACTAGCATATATGGTGGCTAACCTGTTCGCAAAAGAGAGCGAGAAGAGAAGGCAAAGCACGAACGAAGAACTATAGAACAACATACGGCAAACATTACTCCAACACCGTGTTCACTTCCCGGACTCCGCCGAGAAGAGACCATCACGGTTACACACGCAGTTGATTCATTTTAATTAAGTTAAGGT